CGTGGCATGGGCAGGCAGTTCGGTTGCAATACCCATGACATCCATTGTGGTAGGGGCAACGTTGCAGTTGTCCCGTCGGGGTTTTTGTTGCCATTGGTCTCCGCTCCATCTCTGGCGACACCAGATCCTTCTTTGGCCATCGATGCAAGTACATTCAATTTTGCGAACTCGATTTGATTTAAGCGATTAGGGTTTTCTCAGTGGCGGTTGTTGCTCCAGATTGATTAGATTGTGAACGGAATCGATTTGTGCGTTACAATTGCAAGGATAGCTAGGATCATAGTATGTGTGTATGTCGAGACTGATGGCTTGAATAGCTAGGGTCATAGTATATGTGCATGTCCAGATTGCTACAAATATGCATTTGATGAAACCAGCAACGAACAGAAACATAAAACGAAAATGAAGAAAGAAGAGAAACAAAATAAAACCAGAATTCAACCTCAGGCAAAATCCATCCCCCATACAGAAAGTAAATAAATAGCTATCAAAACTACCGACCACACAACAAGTGTATTACTAAAAAACAAATAAATAAACATGTATCAAAAATAGTAAGTTGAAAGTTTATTAGCAAAAATATGAAGATAAGTAAAACAAAAAGATCAAAAACCAACAAATATAGAAAGAGAAGACTAGGAGAATCAATTTTTTTATTGAAACCAAAAAAATCATTCGTCTAAAAAATAGCAATTCTGAATTTTTTATCATCAATCTGCTCATAGTTTTATTAAGCAGCAATCTAAATAGTTATCTGCAGGCTAGTTTGGTGCGTTGAGTTCGGCCCGACGTAGAGCTTTTTTTTTCACTCGCAAGGCGAATAAATAAAACCAGAATTCAACCTCAGGCAAAATCCATCCCCCATACAGAAAATAAATAAATAGCTATCAAAACTACCGACCACACAACAAGTGTATTACTAAAAAACAAATAAATAAACATGTATCAAAAATAGTAAGTTGAAAGTTTATTAGGAAAAATATGAAGATAAGTAAAACAAAAAGATCAAAAACCAACAAATATAGAAAGAGAAGACTAGGAGAATCAATTTTTTTATTGAAACCAAAAAAATCATTCGTCTAAAAAATAGCAATTCTGAATTTTTTATCATCAATCTGCTCATAGTTTTATTAAGCAGCAATCTAAATAGTTATCTGCAGGCTAGTTTGGTGCATTGAGTTCGGCCCGACGTAGAGCTTTTTTTTTTCACTCGCAAGGCGAATAGGGAAAGCCTTCCTCCCCTCGGTCTCC